TCGTGTAGGTTACGATATTTCTAGGTAAGTATTCATTAAGTACAAGTTAAGGCTATTTTTCCTGCATTTAGGAATGCCAGCTTGTTGCTTTGGTGGAACTTGCACTGTACTTTTCTAGTTAGATATAGGGCTTCTAGGCATTGTTCAACTTTTGATGTCACAGGCCTTGTCTAAGGCTGCATGGTTGCATATCAGTTGTTGCTTCAGGAAACTTACTGCTTTGAATATCTGTAAATGTGACCTGTGTATAATGAGGAAATGACTTTTGAATGTGACAACACATTTTTCCCAATGCACGCTACACAATCAAGTCTTAATGTCAGAGGAAGTGAAGTCCAAATGAAGGCTTCAAATGATATGTTAATTGCAGGGCAGCTTGATTGATTGCCACTGTAGCATCCGTGAAGATTTTTACATTTCCTAAGGGGAGCATGATGTGATTTTAGAGCCTTTTAAGAGCACATACTCTATAGTATTTTCCTCTTAAGGGATACTTTTAAGCTACAGATCGCCTCCTTTGCTTTAAATTATTATTGTGACTGATGTCCTTGTACATGAACGGCCTTATTTTGGTACAAGAGTGAATGGAGCAAACGCACATTCATGTTTGGGCCTGCAATTCATAGGGCAAGTGAGAATTTGTTTTATTGCAATCTTTACCATAAACTGTGCACTGAAATACACAATACTGAGCTAGAGACTGGTATTTATACACATGCAGAATGTAGGCAGCCTGCCCTTGAATATTATTCGTCTCAGTTTCTGTGCTGAAGTTGCACACAGTCCCCATTAATAAAAAGAAACCATGATGCCATGTGTGTGTGTCTGGTGTGAGTTTGTCAACTATTTGAACTTGAATCAGTTCTACAAATTTAAATGCTGAAAAAGCACAGACACACTGATTTCTTTAACATTTTATTGTTAAACAGTCACCACATGCTCCAAGCGCACAAGTGCTACAGTTTACTTCAGCTTCTTCTTGGGGCGCAGGTTGTTGGTGTGTCCACACTTCTTCTTGCGGCAGTTAACGGCACGAGGGTGGAGGCGTGCGTAACATCTGAAGACAAAACCAGCAGTCAGTTTTTGTCAATGTTAAATAAGCAAAACCTTGGAATACATGCACTTTTACATAAGTTTACCTCCAGACACCCGAGTGTGAGCTATAGATTTTTGCTCTGCACGATTTAATCGATGGAGTATTAACATTTAACATACTTACTCACATAGGCATTATCAAATATTTTAGAGCATATTAGGATGCACAAATAAGGTACTTACTTGCGGCAGATCATCTTCTCGCAGTTGTATTTCTGCGCCAGCTGCCTGAGGGAAGGTTCGATGATCCCTCCTCTCAGACGCAGCACCAGGTGCAGGGTGGACTCTGAGCAACAACAAGAATTCACCCCATTACCTTTTTGCAATGAGTTCTTAAACTAGAACAAACTGTTTTATTTATTAACTGGTATTTAACCAGCCGAGCCACCTTTTTCAAGCTCTTGCGTGTCAAAAGTCTGACAATAATGAATGGCTCGTTAGTAGGGATGTACAGCAATGGGGCTGTTCATATTTAACATTTTATAATCCACATATTTTTTTAAATACCGTGAAAACACAGAGCATAGCATTTTCTTTGAAGCATGATGCTGTTACACCGCTGACATTCTGCATAACTCAGACGGTGCAGTTAAAGATATCCGTGTCACATGAGTACGAGATGACCACTGATTCCCAAAGCACTAATATCAGGATCATGTTGAACATCTCTAAATGGGACTGATGCATCTCCATCCATTGAGATGATCAAATGTAATACTTGAACAAAGTCTGAGTAACACGTTTACACAGTAGCTCTACACACTGTTGTGCAAGATGTCATACAAGCGACATCAAGTGCTTCCATCCAGGCTATAGCGGCTCTTACACACTGACTGACATGACTGTTTAATAATAAGACTTGGAAGTAAAGTACTCACCTTTCTGAATGTTATAATCTGAGAGTGTGCGTCCATCTTCCAGCTGTTTACCAGCGAAAATCAGACGCTGCTGGTCGGGAGGGATGCCTGGACCAAAGCACGTGCGTTAATACACTGATTCTACCGCCATGATAACAGACAATAACAGAGCCTTTAACAAGAACCTCTACCTTCCTTGTCTTGAATCTTGGCTTTGACATTCTCGATGGTGTCGCTAGGCTCCACCTCGAGGGTGATGGTTTTGCCAGTCAGTGTTTTCACGAAGATCTGCATTTTTCCTTCACTGTCAGATTAAACACAAGTAAAGCTTTACTAACACTTCCGCCATTATTATTTAAATAAAGCAAACCAGGTAACTAGCCATGGCCTAATTACTAAGAAATGCGCATTCATTCACACAAGCACAGTTAACAGATATATGATATACATATTTATAAGCCGTTAAAGAATTTAATAAAAGGAACTCATGAACAGAAGCGTGTCTAAGAGACTGAACGTGCAGGGGCTAAATATCGCCGCTGAGTCGCTAGCATGCTGCTAACACATGGCCATGAACAGCGCTTATAGCTAACGCTTAGCTCTACTTAACCCTACATAACGACTCGCCATGAAGTCATTAATCCGCATTAAAACCTCACAGTACCTCACTGAAACACAGTACAAACACTCCTCTCAACTCTTATTAGTAAAGAATCGCTTAAAAGAAGATGCATTAAAGAACTTTTGAGCTATTACAGAGACCGAAAATCTTACCCACCCTGTACAGCTGGCCTCGGAGGAAAAAAGGACCGATGACGTATTTCCGCTTCAATATTCACCTTTAGCCTGACTTAACAGAGTTACTGCCCCTAGCGGCTGGGGAAATAAATGCATCCGGCACCAAGAAACACAAGTACAGCTAGTCAGCTTTTATAATTAAACTCAGTATACTCTGTATGCAGGGCTTAGTTTGTGGTCACGGTGGCTAAGCACCGTTGCCTCGCACCTCCATGGTTGGTGTTCAGATCCCACCTCCGCCCTGTGTGCATGTGGAGTTTGCATGTTCTCCCTGTGCTTTGGCGGTTTTCTCCGGGTACTCTGGTTTCCGACCAAAGACATGCACTGTAGGCTGATTGGCATTTTCAAGTTGCCCACAGTGTGTGATTGTGCCCTGTCCAGTGTTTCACCGCATTGTGCCCCGAGACCACTGGAATAGGCTCCGGGCTCCCTGTGACCCTGTGTAGGATAAGCAGTACAGAACATGGATGGATAATAATAAAAGTAAGAAATGAGCTGGGGGGATAATGTAATGTATACACACAGACACAATGCAAGACCTTTACATTTAGAACCAAAATAACTACAGAAAGGTCAGTGTGTATGTATTCACAAAATGCACACATTCATTCTTAATCTTATGTATAATATGCTGAAAACTTATGCTGAAAATAGTAAGGCTCTTAAGCTTGGTCTTATGCTTGATGAAGCAACTAGTTTAAGCAGAAAGAGTGTTTTGATCATTTATGTCAGATTTCAGCTGTCTGGCATGGAGTCACCTGAGAACATTTTGGTTGAATTTGTTGAACTAGAAGACCTAAGTGCCCATGGAACTGTTGGTCAACTTTTACGTGCCTTAGAGGGTGTTAATTTTAGAAGTAGTAGTAGTAGTAGTAGTAGTAGGGCTCTCATGCGTTTGTGCATCAGTTATGCTCAGCCGCAAGTCTGGAGTGGCATCAAGACTTCAGTCACTCTTCCCAAATATAATAGTGTGGCACTGCTCATCAACTGGAGCTCGCGGTTGGCGATACGATGAAAGAATTGGGGGCATTAAATCATCTCAGCAGGGTGTGCGGTGGCTTGAAGGTTAGCACGTTTGCCTTGCACCTCAAGGATGGGGGATTAATTCCTGCCTCTGGCCTGTGTACGCGTTTGTTTACTCCGGGTACTCGGGTTTCCTCCCCCAGTCCAATCACATGTGTTGTAGGCTGACTGGCATTTCCAAATTGTCTTTGGTGTGTGATTGTGCCCTGCGATGGGTTGGCACTCTGTTCAGGGTGTCCCCTGCCTTGTCTCAAGTCCCCTGGGATTGTGTGATGCACTTCAAGAATTGTCTGAGCTGTCTGTGAAGCTCCAAAAGCAAGAGTGTACCATTGTCGTGGCACATAGAGCTATTTGTCGCAAGGCAAGGGCAATGTCTGAGAAACCAGGTCGTCATAGCCAAATCAGTCAAAATGCAGTAAATGACAGCGTCTTTCAAGATGTTCCTCTGCATCCAGGATGAAGAGAAGACAAAGGTATGGACCACAAGATTTTTATTTTTTTTTCAGGTGTCTGGTGAGAAGCCTGGAGAATCGCATGCTATCATATGGTGGGGGAGAAGGAGCCTTACAGCAAACTCATCGAAGAGCTAAAGGTTCTGAATATTGGCCTCAGGATGCCGGAGCAACATGGTTGTGGTTATAAAGAAGTTGAGTCTTTGGTCAGCAGTCTGACATTGACAGCCCTTGAACTGACATTCAGGCCTTGAAGGAATATCGCGAGAACAGCGGTGAGCTCGTCCCAGTGGGATTAAAAGACCTTTTGATTGCTGTTGACGCTGTTCCCATTTCAAGTGCAGAGTGTGAGAGGGGTTTTTCTCAAATGAACTTAATTTGCAGTGCCAACCGAGCATCTCTCCACACCTCCACAATTTCATCGCTTCGATTTCTCTGCCTTGCTGGGCCTCCACCATCTCAGTTTAACCCCATTCCATACACGTTTACAGTCTTGTTTGTCATATATAGTACAAACATGCAGAACATGATAAATGTTTAAGCAACGGCATCAGCATAAGTTATAGATTATAAATATCTTTTATTTTCTATGTAGTATTTTGCGACAGAATAATGTCATTACAAGTAATTTGTTCTAATGTATTTTGTTTTTGTGTGCTGTGTGCTGTTTTTTTTTTAACCACTAGGGCTTCCTCTGCAGCAATGCTGCGGCTTAGTTCTTTATCTATTAATATAGAAATGATGAAATAAAAATGAATAAAGGACTACACCTCGCCGTCTCTGGGTGGGCTCGAACCACCAACCTTTCGGTTAACAGCCGACCGCGCTAACCGACAGAGACCTGCATACCCTGGTCCCATTGAAATACTCAGATAAATAAATTATTTGCATAAACATGATATATATCTGAAATGGGATGTTCGAAAAGCAAATATGAATGTGATGGTCAGGTGTCCACAAACTTTTTGACCATATAGTGTTAATCATTTTACAAGCTCTACAGAATAACTTTCATTTTAAAAATCAAACACTAGGGCTAGTTCCCTAGTTAATGGCGCCCTCTTGTGGACAACTTTAGGCGTACGAAATCTGAATGAGTGTAAGTTACAAAGGTGTTTGTCATCTAAAACCATAATTTGGGTTTTACAATAAACTGGGTAGTTTTACTCCTCAGCGACCCGCAGAGCTTTCACAAAAGCTAATATATATGTATAGGTTGAAGCTGGCTCACACCAGCGTTTTCTAAATCCTGTTCTAGCAGACATGAACACTGAAAGACTACATATTTATATAATTATATTAACATACTATACACTAGATATGATATTAATATTAATAATATATTTGTCTCATCCTATTTTAGCTTTTTTTCTTTTTATCTTTCAACCTATAACCTCGTAAAGATGGTTTAAAAGGGGGGGAGGTTATAACATTACTTTGCATAATGGGTTGTCAGATGCGGGGGAAAAAAAAAAGAAAAAGAAAAAAAAACCTTTAAAACATCTACATGACAAATTACATATATATTTAAGTGAGTCTTCCACTGCAAACTCATCCACTGCAGAAATTCTTTGGTGATATGGGGAAAATAAGGCACAGTGTGACATGCTACTACTCCATCAGCTTACGCATCCACCACAGTCATCACCATATCCACACTGACACAAACAGCACAGTGCATGATGGGTAACCTAGTTATGGTTCTGTTCCAATGAAGGTGTTGAGTATTAAAAATAAGTGAGTCAGAAATTCTTCAACTCATTTAATAATACATTACAAATTAAATACATAGAAAGGGCATATGTACAAATAAAATATTGATTTTTCATGAAGGCTCTCATACTGTAATCTTTATCTTCAGGTTAATGGTGTAGTTCAGAAAGCCAATCTATACATTTGTGCATATTTTGTGCTTATCAGTTAGTATAGTGTTTCACAATTCTGCTCAATTAATTCCCACTGTACTGGACGTTTTAGTGCTTTTCCAAAAACACATTTTTGATTTTAGTTTAGCAGCTACTTAAAAATCTGTCTGTTAAAAGTAGGAAAACACTGAAACATCGAGCACAGTGAGATTCCAGCAGCATGAAGGACCAGCCCATAGTTTTTAGTGTGTGAGACTAGCATTAGAGCCAGAGGTGTAATGAAGTGCTATGACATTCTAGGATATGCAGAACATGGCAACAAGATCATGGCTACAAGATCCAAAATGTTACATCCTGCGAATGACCTGTGTCGTATTTGTAAAAGTAATAGTGAACATAACAGTAAGAGAAACCTCAGTGCTCTCACTCTCTAGCTCAAAGGTGCTATCTCGCTTTGGGTGTTCTGCTGCTCACACCAACTCTCTGATTAGCCAAGTTGTTTAAGACACAGCTCGAAGTCATCATGGCCAGTTTGGAATCGAGGACCACTTTCCTCTTCCGCCATGAGGCTTGGTCCTCTTCTTCATCTCCATCTTCTTCTTCTTCCTCTTCTGCCTCACTTTCATCATCACTGCGCTCATCCTTATCCAACTGCAGGGAAACAGGTCAAAGGTCAGGATATTTAAAGTGACACAAGCATTAAAAAAGGAACTGTCATATTTTAGAATTATATATGTAATAGAAAATGTCAAAATATCCCCATTTAAAGGGATTTCCCAGGATTCCACACAAATAAAAAATTGGACAAATTTTTTTGTTGTTGTTCTGCGTGCATGTGTCAGATTCCTTCTAATATTTACAATCCGCTATTTTTCTGATGTGTCTGCTTAAAGTGTCTTTTATTAAATATATAATGTTGCTCAGCCCTCACCAGTGGGCCAAGGCTGTTGTTCCTGTTTAAGAGCTTTTTCAATTCTATTCTTGTAACATTTTATTGATTTCATTAGAGGTAGGCTAGGGAAAAAGCTGCTATATAAACAAGAGCTGTGATGCCAGATGTCAGTCTGTCATACTGGTAACAACTCTACCTGAATTTGTTAGGCCCACTTAATGTTTTTTGAAAAAAAAAAAAAAAAAAGAAAGTGACTTCTGGATTTGCTCAAGGGCACAGTGACTAAAACCTGAACCTTTTGGTCACTAGGCCACCAGCATTCTGGCATGTCTACCAACGTTGAACAGTTTTCATCTCCAGAGCTGTGACACACCTTGCCCAGAAAGAGGAACTTGTAGATCATGCGCAGTATGAGCCAGGCCCAGAAGATGTGCAGGAACTGCAGCACTAGCAGCAGAGAGTTGAAGAAATAATACCCCACAAACGGCTGGAAGACCTCCATCGATGAGATCAGAGTAGTGTATATAATCCTTTAGGGTTAGAAAATTAAAAAGATCAGCAATTCTGAAAGTTGTTGCCATAATCTGTTTTCCAACAGATGCAGGAAAATAACATTAGTGCCAACTGAACACCTGGCAGGGATCTAATTACTCATCTATTACACCACAGCTATGTTGTTACACTATCATTTTCTCCATCTTTAAATTATTAATTAAGTAATTGTCTCCCAATGAAAGCTGACGGGACAAAGGTCTTACTTGCTTGGAAACACGACCAGGCGTGTCACCAGGAACACCACAGCAAACACCACAAAAAGCGAGTCGCAGGTTTTTTTCCAGCCTGCATAATTGAACATTTTTGCCGACTGTTGAGAAAGAACAAATAGTTACAGCATCACTTCAGACATCTCATCTCTCAGAATGAAATAAACTCATTTCTGTTTCAAGGTAAACTTCATTTTGAGCGACTTTCATATTAATCTTCATAATTATTGTGACCTCCAATGGCATTCAAGATTTATTTTATAATAATTTTTTAATTTAAACTTCTTTCATGGACATGTTGCTCTATTTTCTCTACGGTTCATGGTTTCCCATGTTTCCACAATGCTGTTCTACCTGCTAATAGTGGTGCTAGTAGGATTTAACCCTCACGTGATCTCTACCTAAAGAGAGCGATGCAGCAGCGCTTTAGTCTTTTAGTCTGCTCAGCTCTCTCTCCTCCTCAGCTGTACACTCTGCTTAAATAGAGCAGCTTCCAAAGCTTCAACTTTAATGCTAATTCCTCGGTCAACAATCGTGCTTTTCATCTCGTAGCCGAGTCTCTGCCATAGCTCAGGGCAACTGCGTTATATAGCTGCATTGCATTATGGAATTTTGAGTCCAGTGTTTGCACCAATGTCTCCAGTGCGTCTGCATTCGATTTCTCATTGATATGACACAGCAGGAAAATGGTGAGTGAGAAAAGAAGTTCTTGAGCTTTTGTTTTTAGGAGCTGACAGCGAAAACCGATCACTATCCCTTATGTTTGAAATCGCTGAACTTTTTTTCTTTTACTAAATGCTTTTGTAACTGCACTGGTAATGTCCCCCAGTGCAACCAGTGCAGCAGGCGACTGCAAATTGCTCACGTTAATAATGAACATACAGCATCCACAAACACATTAGCACCAGAATCACTAAGCACATCACAAACATCTCCATATAAACATGCTCTATTTGATATGTTTCAGGGTGGAGGTTCCTCAATTAGAAGAAAGTTGCTCAAACACATTTTTCGATATCATTATCATGAACATCCTCATGTATGCAATAATCTCTGACAGTGAGCTGGAAGACCCACGAGGAAGCCAGATACACACTGTGTGACTGCATGTCCCTGACGCTCTGTATAGAGCATTCTTACCTCTAGCAGGAAGTCAGAGGAGTCATGGACGAGCATGACCAGAGTGCCAATGCGGATGTAGTTGGCGCAGTAGGAGAACCCAAGCAGAAAAATGGTAGCGATGTGGTGTATAATTTGTTCTTTGAAATCCTAGAATAGAAAACAGCACTCATTAGGCACTTTTGAGATTTTAAGTTTGAGCTGCTAAAAACTTTTTTTTTTTTTGTGTTAAAACCATCACTGAGACACACGATAGAATATCTCTTTTGGATATCCTTTTCCATGACCTAGCAAATACACTATATGGCCAAAAGTATGTGGACACACCTCCTAATTATTGAGTTCAGGTGTTTCAGCCAAACTGATTGCTAACAGGTGCATGAAATCAAGCACGTAGCCATGCAATCTCCATATACACACAGTGGCAGTAGAACGGGTTGTACTGAAGAGCTCAGTGACTTTAACACATGCTACAGGATCCCATAAGTCAGTTTGTGAAATTTCTGCCTTGCTAAATCTGCCCCGGTCAACTATAAGTGCAATTATTGTGAAACAGAAGCGTCTAGGAGCAACAACAGCTCAGGCGCGACACGGTAGACCATGCAAACTCACAGAGAGGAGTCGCCAAGTGCTAAAGCGTGTAGCGCGTAGAAATCGCATATCCTCTGTTGCATCACTCACTACAGAGTTCCAAACTGCCTCAGGAAGCAACATCAGCAAGAACCGTGCATCTAGAGTTTCATGAAATCGGTTTCCATAGCCGAGCACCTGCACGCAAGTCTAAGATCCCTATGTGCAATGCCAAGCGGTGCCTGGAGCAGTGTAAAGCATGCTGCCACTGGACTCTGGAGCAGTGGAAACGTCCTCTGGAGTGAGGAATCACACTTCACTGTCTGGCAGCCTGATGGACGAATCTGGGTTTGGCTGATACCAAGAGAATGCTACCTACCGGAATGCATAGTGCCAACAGTCAAGTTTGGGGGAGGAGGGATAATGGTCTGGGGCTGTTTTTCAGGGTTTGGACCCTTTAGTTCCAGTGAAGGGTAATGCTATAGCATACAAAGACATTTCAGACAATTATATGCTTCCAACTTTGTGGCACCAGCTTGGGAATTTCCTGTTCCAGCATGACAATGCCCCTGTGCACAAAGCGAGGTCCATGAAGACATGGTTTGACGAGTTTGGTGTGGAGGAACTCCAG